ACACACACACACACACACACACACACACACACACACACACACACACACACACACACAAAAAAAACAGAATAATGGATCAGGTCAGCACCAACAGCGACAAATCTCATTGTATTAAATGCTTCTTATTTTATCAACTTCCCAGTAGCAAACTCACTTGAACTCCTCCATAAAGGTGCCATGGTGGGCAATATTCTGCCAGAGACTCTTGAAGATGGTGCTGATATGGTACCGTATAGTGAACTTATCATAGAACTCACTGGTAGCACCAGTATGCTCGACATCTAACCAGGAAAAATGAAGAATAAAGAAACACGTATCAGATGAAGACTTTTGTTTTTGCAGATTACACAGACAAGTACAAGAAATGGAAAAGATAATATTTTCAGATCTCATATTAGTTGCTTCAACTGAAGACATTTAATATCCATCAAGTAAACACCATTTATTCTGTAACACAAACAAAACACAAATACTGGGGTGTAGCAGCAAAATGTTAATTACAAGTGAAGAACAACAGTCAATACTGATTATATTTTATGACAGATTAGAAATTTGACAGTCTTCTATAAAATGCAATATTACTTCTTCCCTTTCTACTCCGACATCAATAACTGCAGGTTGACTGCCTCACATCATTCAAACTGCTATCTATACTGCATTGCAGTAAGCAGCAGCCCATGACTCCAGTTATAGTTCATAAAACTCACCAGTGTAAAACTTCATGAGAGCAGGGACCAGGTGTTTGATAGACAATGGGTGGTTCTCCATCATTTCAGAGAATCGCTGAGTACGAGGCTGTACGGCTGGGTTGGTGACAAACAGCACCTCCACCAACTTGGCGATGAGGTATGGGTTCCTGATGTAGTTCTGACTGCAGATGAACACCACCAAGAAGGCGACGACGTCCTGGACACATGGCTCGTATAAAACCTGGGGTGAGTACCTGGAAAAACAAAGGGTGCACGTCAGCTTCTAAAGGACATTATTCAAGCTGACATATTGCTTTTTGTCTGCTGCCAATGGTGATATTTTTGCTGGTGTCTTTGTGTTTCGAGTAGCAAAACATCTAAAACTATTACTTTCATATTGTCATTTAAACAAATGTGAGATTTGAACATTTGATGTTCATTATCAGAATAAAAATGTTTTGTTAAGACTTGACAGAGCAGTGAAACAAGAGGAGAACTTACTGCACAACAAAAAGCAGAAACTCTGCCACATCTTCAACGTAAAACTCGGGCAGAGCGGCAAAGCTTTTGGGAATCTCTGGGTTTAATGGCAGCACAATGCTGTGAAACAGAAGAGATTAAAAATAGTCTTGTGCGTTTTGATTTATAAAATACTCTGACATGAAGCCCAGCGTGACAAAAATAAACAGTAAAAGTGACGTCCCTGTGGTTCAGTTACTCATGACCAAAAACAACAACGTGGTCAGTCAGTAGTATGGTGACTCACTTGGGGTAGGCAGGGTCCACCATGCGAAGAATGAGCTGAATGACTGTGCTGTAAAACTGCAGACATCTGCGGAGCAGGTTCTCATCCAGAAGGCCCACGTCAGCGCAAGCTTTGGCTCGCACCAGTTTCTGATGGGACAATGTCACACATAATAAGGATCACATTGCTGTGAATCTGCTTTTTTTTTATAGAACCGAGCATGTTTCAGCAATTACTTTGGTGTCTAAAGACAYCCAAAGTAAATATTGGTAGGAATAAATCTGTAAAGGTATGATCAATAAATGGARGAATGATGGCACATACATCAACTAGGACTAACCTTCAGCTGGGTTTTGCATCGTTTGAGCATTTCTCTGTGTCGACTAGCCAGGGGAGAGTCTTTCCATTGGCTCTCGCTGTTTTTGAGCTCCTCTACAGTCCTAAAAATAGCAACAATATTAATAAACTTACACTGTGATTATGCTATAAACACTTGTGTGCATGTGTACCTGTTGAGTTCTCGAATGGCACGCAATCTGCGGATGTAGCGCCGGCAGCTTGGCAGAATGGACAAATGGTGGGTGTGAAGTGTGAAGAAGAAACACTCGGTGGGGAACTTGGGTTCTGAAAACTTTGATGGATCTTCATCTGTGCAGGTTTGAAAATGAAATGCATTTAATATAAAATGATGGCAAATGACAAGCTAAGAACTTTTTTAGAAAACGGACATTATATAAATAAAAACATTCTCCAAATCTCGCATTTTCATTCTAGTCAACATACGCAGCTCAGTCATCCAGACTTTGAGCTCCTCCATGGTGGCTTTCAGTCGCGTTTCTTCCAGATTGACAACAAGGCGACACCGTGGATGGAAAATGTAGAAGGGGTCCACCGTCTCCAGCTTGATCTTCATGCTCAGCTGTTGCAGCACCCATAAGAAGTTGAGCATGAAGCCATCTGTTGACACCAACTTGTCATCAGTCTGAAAAAAGATTTCCAAAGATGTCACAACTTTGAGATAGATTGAATTTGTTAAAAGAAATGTTAATTTATGCATGTGCACTGCACACGCTCAGTTGTTTCTGTGGAATAAAGAACTTGTGCGACATACCTGCATCTGAGCTTTCTTCACATTGTAGTTGACTAGAGCTGCCATGTAATTAAGAGCTAACTCGCGTGTTTCTCCATTCAGCAAAATATTGTGGAGAACTTTGAACAGGTCACCCTGACAAGAGAAAATTAATCATAATCACAGCGTTCATTATGTTTTACTAAAAAGGGATATGGAAAGTATAAACATTCTGATGTTGAAAGTTACCCTTGCTGACTCCAGGTAGTGCTGCAATGACTGGCTGACAACTCGTGTGTTCTCCATGGTGATGGCTGGGCCAGAGAAATACTTGTCTCCTACTCTGGTCTAAACAGACACACAGACATTAAATGAACACTTCATTGATAAAATTTAACATTGTTTTAATGATGTTTATTTACAGGTGTGCTCCACAATCAGAACTCTGTTAGTCTTCAAAGTTAACAAGGTTAACAGATCCAACAAAAAAACCTGGTACAACTCACATCATCCTCAGCGAATACAGAAAGACTAAAGGGCGCTCCGAGATAGGACAGTCTCTGGATCTCTCTACCACAACCAAGGCTCAGAGGTTTAGGACACCATAGAGGCAGCGATGTTATCTTAAATAGAAGAGAAAATTAAGTGATCCTTTTTTTTGTCTGTGGAGCGTAAAAATATCTGGATAAACAAAGCTCATTTTTCAGCCCTGATAACTAATTACGGTGCTATAAAAAAAAAAAGATGACTAGCCACATCTGCTAATTACAATCAAGGACATTCTTATTGGCTGAGCTCTGGATCTCTTTTAGGAATACATAGTAAAAACAACAGAGCCGTGAGGAAATAGTAAGAATGAATTATGGCATATTGTTGCTCTGGAAATTTAACTGGATACTCACCAAGTTGCACACAGGGTGAGTCTTTCCAAACTTAATTTCACAAAGCTCCGCTAATGCCTGCAAAAACGAAAAAGTACACAAATAGTGTGTTGATTTTTTTCAGACTCACTTCATGTGTCGCATGTATAGCAGGTAACAAGCACAGTTTAGCTTGTTTTCTTCARGACTAAACACTTAAATTACAAAAAGCCGACTTGCTTGTATAGTTCTTTTATTATTGTTCACTACATAAAAAAAAAAAAATCACAAAAATCTAATCTATCCAATAAGCAGTGCAATGTGAACATTAATGTATTAGATGTTTCATATTTCTAAACTTATTATAGTTGACAAATAACCTGAAGTCAAGTATCTACGAAGCAGAAATGCTGTCCATCAGGCTGCCTACTGCTAACAACCTACTGTATCGTTTATGTTCTGTTTATAAGACAGCTTTTTTATTTGCTTATAGAAGACAGAGTCTTTTTACCATGAGCGGATATTTAAAGTTGTCACTGTCAAATGAACATTCTTTCACAGCAAGGGCCAGCCCATGGAGGATGGGAATGAARATCTGAAAAACAAGATAGTAAAACATTATCATTCTTTAGTGACTGCAAAACAGAAAGTTGCTTTGATGTTAACTTGTCTCATTGAGCCATGAGTGAAGAAGATAATAAATAACTATGAGGTGACATCCTAGAACAGGGGTCTGCAACCTTTACGATCAAAGAAGCCATTTGTGCCCCTTGTCTCACTAATAAAATGTGTTTAGAGCCGCAAAACAAGCTACAACTGTGATTATCAACTGGTGGTCCGTGGGCCTTTTCAGGAACCTTCATGGCTAGTGGAGGTGACATTATAAAACTAAGAAATATAT